TTAAGTGCCGCTAAGCCTAATACTTCTCTTGATGGCGGCCATTGTCTGTATACATATGAAACAGCAGGATAGTGGATTTGTTGCCAATCTAGAGAAACTTAGCTTCGCAACAACAAAGATAACGCCTTCATTTATTATTGCCAATTAAATCATGGTTAATCCTTTCTGGAATTTTTTCGAGGAATTAAGTGTTTAAGATTTACTTCGTAAATTTTAATATAGATATTTTGAGTTATGTATTTTTGCCTTCTCGCGAAGTGAGAACTGGATTAATTGAATGAGAAATACTCAATCGTCTGTGAAAAACCGTTTCTTTTTTGTTTTATTTGCTTAATTTCTTTTATACATCATTCTAGCTTTATTATAGTATTTGAATAGAACATGTGGCAACGATTAGATAATTCTATTCTTTAAATGACATAAATTTTGTGCATTATGAGTTATAATATGAACGAAATGTAATACTGTTAAGTGAATCTAGCGCCAGAGTGTCGCTATGGTAAACAAATACTAGAGTGAATTTTAAAGAATGCATTTATTCTATTGTGGTTTATGCGCTGTCGAAGAAGTAAATTTAATTCAATTCAATAAGTTTAAATGAAATGCAAGAAAAAGTGCATATAATTTAATATTCCGTACAAGGAAGTCATGTGGTGTACACATCAGATTTTTTTACTTCTTTATTTCAATCTTTTCTTCATTATTATATTGAAATTAGGTTATTACATAAGGTTTACAAGTGCGATATCGTTTTACCTTTCAGTGCAGTACTGTGTTTAGAACTCAGGTCTTCCAAAAAATTACTATTTAATTATTATTGTTTCAAAAGAATAAATTGAATTTAAATACAAATTTAATTAATTCTTTGCGCCATTGCTGCAAGGAATGAAATTTAAATTTTAACAAACATGTATATACGTAAAAAGAAAATTTAAAGTTAAAATAATTAAAAAATGTGCAAACATATAAAAGATTTAATTTTGGAACTAATCTACAATATCATTTAAATTCAGATAGCATAAGTAAATAAAGTGCAAAACCAAACCTTGAAAATAAATTCACCAATTTAGCAAATTAAAATTAATCTAAAACTTTTTTTTTTAAATGCATAAGTGAATGACTGTTGAGTAGGCAGGAGACAGACTTATCAAGGGGAAGTTGCCTCCAAACCTAACTCTACAATCATTCAATTCGTGTTTCGTCATTCATGCAGGCAAGGGTCAAAACCAAAAGAAATACATAGTGAAGAATGTCCAAAAAGAAATACCAATAAAGTGGTACCTTGAGAAATAAGCAATTAAAATAAAGGTAAATGCCAATGAAGTATTTTGAGAACTAAGCAAGGTAAATTCTAGTATTAAATTTAATTTACAAAAAAATTTTTTTAATTAAATTTTTTAGAAAAATTAATTTAGAAACCAATGCATTTTAGAAAGGAAATTAAGGAATTTATTTAAGGAATTCAATTTAATAAATAAAAAAATTTTTAGGAATTCATTTCAAAATTTAAATTTTACTTAAATTTGGGGAATTTTTTAAGACATTTTAAGATTTTTTTAAATTTAATTTTACTTTAAAACATTTTTAAATTTTAAACAATTCAGGTTTATTTAATAGCTTTTTAATTATTCCTTTTTAATTTGCAATTTTCACTAAAAAATAATTTTTTCACTTAACGTTTTTTATTTGCATTATTTACGCAATTTTGCAACACACATTTAACATTACAAACAGTTTACATTTATTAATTCACAATAACCACTTTACTTTACTTCAGTTAGAGTACTCTTTTTATGATATTTGCAGAGCAAACTTACATCTCTTGATTGGCTCAGCTACTAAATGCCCTACCATAAATAAATGGTCAATTAAAACTTGAATTACATACTTTTAGGATATTCTTTGATTTTTTCTAGCTTTATATTATTTAAATATTTTAGTATTAAAGTTTACAAAATTTTTAATAAAACAAAGATAGCAGCTTGGCACTCAACTTTACTTACATCAGCGCCATCTATATAATTTGCAGAACACACTTACATCACTTAGGAAATACTTTTACAGACCCCAACGCTAATATGGTAGGTAAGTTAGAATTAAAACTTCTATTTACTTACTTTTAAGTATTTTTTATGTAGTATTTAAGTATTTTCTAAATATGTAATTATATTTTTAAGTATTATATTATTTGTTTTTTATAATTATGAATTAGTTCTTTTTAGTGTTCTTATTGGTTTATAAAATTATGTCTAGTTCCTTTTTTAGTTTCTTTTGATTGATATGCATATTCGTGTCGGGGAGGTTTCTGTAGACAAGTGTTTCTACAATGCATTGGTTTCTAAATTAATTTTTCTGAAAAATTAAAAAAATTTTTTTAATTTAATTTAATGCTAGAATTTACCTTGCTTAATTCTCAAAATACTTCATTATTGGTATTTACCTTTATTTTAATTGCTTATTTCTCAAGGTACCACTTTATTGGTATTTCTTTTTGGACATTCTTCACTAGGTATTTAATTTTGGTTTTGACTTTTACCCTTGCCTGCATGAATGACGAAATGACGAAACACGAATTGAATGATTGTAGAGTTAGGTTTGGAAGCAACTTCCCCTTGATAAGTCTGTCTCCTGCCTGCTCAACAGTCATTCAGTTATGCATTAAAAAAAAAATTTCTTTTATTAATTTTAATTTGCTAAATTGGTGAATTTATTTTCATCGTTTGGTTTTGCACTTTATTTACTTATGCTATCTGAATTTAAATGATATTGTAGATTAGTTCGAAAATTAAATCTTTTATATGTTTGCACATTTTTTTAATTATTTTAACTTTAAATTTTCTTTTTACGTATATACATGTTTGTTAAAATTTAATATTTAATTACTATTATATATTGTTAAAATTATAAATCTCACGAACTTCTCTTTGAGGGTACTATTTCTAGAGATTTCATGCATTTAATGAGTAAACTGTTAACTCTCGCAATTAAATTTTGTCGCTAGTAATATATCTGAATTAGATGTATTAGTAATAATCATTACAAATTTAATGAGTCAGATACCTCTAAATAATTTTAAGAAATCGAAATATTTTTATATGTTATGCTTTTGTAATAAAAATGAAAATTTTCACAAGCATATTAACACACAAACTGCATGTAATAATTCAATTTAGAAGCAACGTTAGGGTAAAAAATAGTTTTAGACTTTTGCAAATTAAATGGGCAGATGGTTTGTTTGCATTTGCATTTCAGCAAATTTCTCTTATTAAATAAACACTGAATTTTCCATACGAAAAATACTTCTGTATGCAATTTAATACAAATATATAATTATGCATGACTAAAAAGCTAAGTTATTAGCATATTTACCTGTATATTATTAATTTTAAGAAAGCAGAAATCAATGAATTTTAAGGGAAAAAAATTGTTTGTTCCAATGGCGGGTTCTAGCCTTTTGTAGGCATTGGCCACTACTAATGCCGGGAGCGGTAGTTTGTTTATTGTGGAGGAACCTAATAGGTGGGCTACCGTTGCCTCCTATGAAGGAACAGACGAATTGCATCCCTTCCTTCCCCGGGATTCGAACCTGGGCTCTTCGATAGGCAGTCACAGTTACTAACCACTTTTCCGTCTTTTTAAGAAAATAAAAAGTAATAAATAGGAAATTCCCTTGTAGTCTCACCAGGACACAAGGTGAGATTTCATATAAATTGGGTTTTCCAGCTTGAGTACATTATTTCTCTGAAATGGCTGATTAGAATTTCAAGAAATTAGCTTAATTATGTGAATACTCTATCTGATTAAAATGTCCAATTATTGTGCTTCTGAAGTGAGAACTTTTAGAGCTATCATTAAATTTGAAATCATATGAAAATTTCAAGTCGCATCGTCTGTGAAACAACACTCGAGTCTTAAGGAGGTTTAAACAGCGCTTTTAATAAAAACTTTTAAATGACGCAAAATGTGCAATTTGGGCTTCAAATTTGACTCTTCACTACTTGCGGAATATCAGATAACAGTGCAAAAACAAGTGGCGGGACACTATAATTTCAATATTAGTTGTACAGGTACATTCACACAGAAGCGGATTTGGAATGCATGTGGACGTCTGGCGTGTGGATTATCAGTTGCCCATATGTGACTGTTGTGCATATTGAAGATGCCTTCCTGCCTCATCCGTGAATAGAATATTCGATGGGAAATCCGCCTGCGCAGTACACTGTTACAAGAATCAACAACAGAAGTTAACGAGCAGAGGGTAATCTGTCGCTTGCAAGGCTTAGACTCTCTGCAGATGTGCACTGCACGTCTCAATGGCTCACATTATTGGATTTTTCTGCAAGAGGTTTTTCGGAAATATTTCAGGATGTCGTTCGTGAACACATGTGGTTCCAGCATGATGTAGCGCTAGCCCATTATGACCTGGTGGTCTGAAATTACTTGGATGCGAATTTTATGTGGCGATGGCTTGGGAATCGCGGACCAGTCCGATGGTCACCCTGTTCGCTACATTTATCCAGAATGGATTTCTTTTTTGTGAGGGCATCTGAAGGGCATCCTTTACGAGACTCCGGTTGACTCACTGGAGGACCTCTTTGCATGACTATCCATTGCGATTACAAGCGAACGCAAAATGCCAGCCATTTTTCAGAGTGTTTTTGCTGATGCCTTCTACGATGTTACCAAGCATGTTTTACTGCTGGTGGTCGCAATTTCGAACGTTTCTTGTGAATATTGTACTGCTTGCTGCAAAGAGACATTTTGCGTTGATTTTAGAAATAAACACATTTCTCCTCCCGTGTCAGTTTTTGCGTTCGTGTCTTAACACATCACTGTAGACCCTACATTCCAAGGACAAAAAAATACATGTTTTAGTACCCTCAACCACCCCACCAATTTTGTCCCATGATCGTAGACTCACACTTATACTATAAAATCACAGATTTGTTTAAACATTAGTGCTACAGAAGTACTGAACCTTGAAAAAAATTCTAACTTACATAAGTTGGTGGATGGACAGCACCTGTTGACCCCACGATAAAGCACTGGTGCCTTCACCTGCAAATAACAATCGATTATGCCGGTGACAATTCCACGTCCCCCATCTCTCTTCCCTTACCACCAAACCACTCGACAGAGCATTCGGTTTGTCAGTATTTTGATTCCCTCCTTGCCGCACAAACATTATACATCCATTCCTTCTCCAGGATTCGAACGCTATTCCGTCAGAAGATTAAAATACAAATGTTGCCTAAATCTAATGCCTAAGGTTGGCTCAAATTCTAAATGAGCAACTGAACTTCGTCTAGTAAAATGGCTAACGGCTGGATAACTAACGTAACAGCCTGGGCGAAAGAAAAGTACTACTAGCTCAGCTAACAAAGCTTTACATTTAAAACTTTCAAAAACTCTTGAGTCAAATAGTCGTAACTCACTCACATCCTGGTAAGAGCTGACGAAAACGAGAAGTGATAGTTGAGATTCAAATCATAGAAAAGTTTTGTTATCGTAAATGATATAAAATATCCTCTGAAATTTTCATTGTCTCAAATAAAATTATTATAACTATGTAAGCAGTATTATTTAAATATACAATTTTACATACTCATATGTTTTAACTGGTAAATATAATTTTATATTTCTTTTCCGACATTAAGAAAATAATACGCACTTGCAAGATTTGAAAGTAATTATATCTTTCTTGGGTTTAAAACAGCTAATTATTACATTTTTCGCATAAAAACTTTAAGAAATTCCATTTAATTTTATGTTAAATACTAGTCGATTTTACATTCTCAAATTAAAAAAAAAAAAAAAAAAAAAAAAATGTTATTTTTTAAGATAATATTATTCGATTATTTTTAAAGAATATTATTTAAACTATTAGGCCAAAAGGAACATTCCTAACGGGATATAAGTCTTGAAACGGCATTTTTCGTCAACACACTTAAATATGGTGTATCGCTTTTCAAACCGTTGTCACTAAATAATATCGTCCAATATTATATTTAAAGAAATTAAATAATAAAGAATCTGCATGAACGTATGTATGTTTCTCGCACTGACTGTCTTTTGGGAATTCTAAAGGTATGCTGTTTTTAAATATTTTGTTTTTTTGCTATTGAATCGAACTTTTTGCGGCGTAAGCGCCAAGAGCCTGATATTTAATAAATTAAGTAAACACGGAAAATGTTAATTATAAAAAGGTTAAAAAAAAGTTTTGTAAAGTCATCTTAGTAAGAAAATTGAATGTTTATATCATAAACTCAGAAAAGAAAAAAAAAAAAAAAAAGTTTTGTAAAGTCATCTTAGTAAGAAAATTGAATGTTGATATCATAAACTCAGAAAAGAAAAGAAAAAAAAAAAAAAGTTTTGTAAAGTCATCTTAGTAAGAAAATTGAATGTTGATATCATAAACTGAGAAAAGACACACACACACACACACACACACCAAAGAAAAAAAAAAAAAAAGGAGGGAAAAAAGAAAGAAAAGAAAAAGAAAAACACTGCGTCAGGAATTCTAAACGTATTACGGCTATTCTGCTTTTAAAATTTTTGAAATTTTGCTGCGGAATTGTATAAGTACGAAAAAATTATGTTTAACAGTAAAGCTGAAAAAAAAAACGAAAAAAAAAAAAATAATAATAATAATAATAATAATAATAAAGAAAAGATAATGGTTAATAGGAGGGAGTGTAATAGCAGACTGTTAGATTGAATGTTCATAGAGAGTGTAAAAAAACCTTAACAGACCCTTTTGGAAACGTTAAAATCTGAAACATTTCAAAGTTTGTTTTTAATACTTTAAATCATTTTGCATTCTAGTAGAAGTTGACGAAGGTAGAAGTATTTAAAAGGTAAAAATAGTAAGACAGCAGCTAATTAATTAATATGAAACCTTACAGTTAACAATTCAAATTATGTAAGTAATTGGAAGTACATAATTAAAAGTTTTACTTCTTTGCTTTATATACGTGATCGTTTGGATGTCAAAAATAAAATAATTTTACAGGTGGTCATACCTGCAAAATTGGAAGTACATAATTAAAATTTTTGCTTCTTTGCTTTATATACGTGGTGGTTTGGATGTCAAAAATCAAATAATTTTACAGGTGGTCATACCCGTGCACCAAAAGCACACTCATGAAAACTAAAAATCTTAAGAAATTGAAAAATAAAGTGTGAAAAAAGCATAAGGTTTTACTAAGAATGATCGCGATCGATCTATTTCACTTTTTTTTTTTTTTTTTTTTTTTTTTTACACAATAAAAATAGTAGAGAATTCCAGAATTTTTTTCCCATCACTATTCGTTGGGAATTTCGATTATTTACTTTCGAAACAATATCAATCAAATATGTATTCCACGAACCTTGCAAAAGAAAACGCAAAGCACGTGCATGCTTCATTATGTACATAACTTTTTTACTTTTTTTCCCCCTTTTTGTAGCTTTTAGTCACTGCGGTAACTTTGGAAAAAAAAAAAAAAAAAAAAAAAGAAAAGAATCCAAAATATACATACATTAGAGAGTAATTTCCGTTGTTGTTGACTTACAAGGAAGTAAAATATTTGCTACGATGGCATCGAAGCGTGAAACAATCATATTCTGTTTGTTTATTCCACTTTCTATAACGTTGCCAAAAAAAAAAAAAAAACTAAAACCAGATGGCGATAATTTTGTTACGTAAAAGCGAACCGAAGTATGGTATTAGAAGAATAAATAGTTTATGGTTAGTTTCGCAGTGTTATTTAATGTGTGTTTCTACTGAAGAACAAGAATTTCACCAATGCATAATGTAAATTTCGTTTTCCTTATTTCCAGCAAACGATTCCGCTTGTAAAAACAACTTTCCTTTTCGCGCGATTCTGTTCACGAGAATTCAGATACTTGCATGGGGATGCTTTCTGAATAAAGTTAACACTACACGAATTTGTGGATGAAAGCCGTTGTTGTAAATTAAACAGTAGTCTCTAATCTTAATATGCGATGAAAAATTGATACACTAAACTGAAGTGAAGAAATAAAACATCAAAATTTATCTTGAAGAGCTAAATTCATTGAATTCATTCATTCAAAATTTATCTTGAAGAGCATTTTGCATTGTTCTAACTGCTTTGTTGTTTCTTGGGCATTTTAATGGTTTAGAGTGATTAAGTTTTTTAATGCTGGAGACTTTAATAATGTGCAGTACCCTTGCTGGACTCGAAGCCCGGAGCTCTCGAGTATGGTTCTACCATCAAATCTACCATCAAATTTAGTTGTTGTCAATTGATGGTAGATTAGTTTATCCCCTTGATAAGTCGATTAACCTGCGATCAGTGATAGCAGCTACTTTGTCAATGCTTAAAATGTTTACTTTTGGTTTTGGTATTTTTGCGATTAAAGATTTTTCTTAGCAGATTTTTATGTTTTTAAACAATAAGGTCTTGAAGAAAACTAATTTAAAATACTAATTAAAATTCTACATTTTTTTCATTCATGGTTTTAAATTGAATTTGTATTCCTCGGAGATGGTATATGGAATGTTTTCTTATTATATATATATAATTATAAAACATTTTTTTATACTTTCAACAATTATAATCTCATCGAAAACAGCAACATCTACCCAAACTGTGCAAAACTAAATAAGACAAATAAAAACCAAACAGAAATAGTTTATCTTGATCCAAGTATTCATAATCTAACAGAAATTAAAAAACTTTTTGATAAAAGAAAAGATTTTGATTTTTCTACTAATAGATTCGAACTCCAACATATCTGAAGAAGTTATTGCAAACACTATTATTAACCAAATTAGTAGAATTAAAAACTTTACACTGAAACAGAAACACAAGAAGAAATTCTAATTCTCACCAAAATTTTAAATGAAAATTAAATTCCTTTAAAATTAATAAATAGTCTATTAAAGAAATCAGGAGTAGTCTAAACTCTATAATAATTTTTAAAAGTATGAATTTTTTATCTAAAAGAGAAGGATAAAGAAGGGTGTTTTAAAGGGTTTATAGGATTTAAAAATTTTATCTTAATTACTGTTCTATTATTAATCAAAGGCCTTATATATTCAAAGTCGTCATGATAAGACCATTACGTGAAGACTTTTTACTTTTCTAACAATAGTTCCTGTACTTCCTTTTTCAACTTTTTCTGTAATTTTAAATAACAAAACTAAAAAATCTAAAATTCAACTTTATAGATTTTTCTACTCACACCTACAAAATAATTATTAAACTTTCTAACTACTTTTTGGGCACCTTTTTAAGGCTACTATTTTTAAAGAATATTTTACTTTAAAATTTATTTAAAGTTTTACATCGGATATTCTTTGTTACCATTTTAGTTTTTAAAGAGTCAGAATTCACTTAAATTTCATTTTAATTAGTCAAGTTATCTTTTTCTTTGTCAAAATTAAAATTTTCATAGAAGTATTTAAAAGTTTTTATTTTGGTTTCAAAATTCCATCTTTTGCTCCAATTTCAAGCCTTCTGAGCGATTACTTTCTAGCCAAGGGATTTAGTTTTGCCAATGAAGCCAAAATGGAAAAACTATACGTCACTACTGTAACGATATAGATACTTTAGATTTTGTTCTTATGAAAGAGCTCGAAGTTTTTAATTGCTTCTTGTGGGTTTTAATTAAGTATTTTCACTAAAGTTTTATAATTTCACTTATGTTTTAAATTCTTTGGGTTATATGCTATTTGTTTAAAGGTAAAAAATTTTGATTTGAATTTTTCACTGAAGTATTTTATTATTTCACTTACGCTTTCATTCTTTAACTAGAATTCTCTTTATTCAAGGTGCAAGATTTACTTTGTTTTTACCCTTGCTTTGGTTTGGGGCCAGATTTTTCGGGTGAATTCTAATATTTAAAATACATTAAAATGGTTCATCGGGTAATTCTGGATGCAGAAACGCAAGAATTTTTGTGACAGAAGAGATTTCAATTGATTTCAGTGTTCCTCCTCCTGACGAAGTGGCATTGAAGTCGATTGAATTCCTCTTCTATTATGTTCGTTTTTCTTTAAATTTGTTTAATTTTTTTAATTGGGCTTGTTT